ATAAAAACGGTTAATAGAAATAATATTGAGGAGATCAATTGTCTGGTTTCAGATGTGATAGATCAAGAGAGATGTGGTGGAAAGAACAAAAGATTCTCTCGGTTTTTGGCAGCAAATAAAACCAATTTTTGTGTCTATGGTGAAGGATAATGTTATATGGGGTAGCAATCCTAAAGGCAATTTCACCATAAAGTCATCCTATATGTTAAAGTGTGCTTTGTTGAATAAAGAAGAAAATTCAGCCAAATGGCTCTCAAACATTTGGAATATAAACTGCCCCCCGAAACTGGAAACCTTTTTATAAACAATAGATTTCCCACTATAAACCTTCTTAGGAAAAGGGGAGCAAATATTAATGGGGATTGTGAATTTTGTGGAGAGGAAGATGATACACCACATGTTTTTAGGGAGTGTTCCTTTACTAAGCAAATATGGCAAGTGATAGAAATCAGACAGTGTTCAAGAAAGTGGCTGCCCCATCTCAATTAGTTATTTACAAGGCCCTTAGTCTGTTTAGGGAATACAATGAAAGGCATGTTGAGACCAATATTGACAAAGTGGACAAATATTAGAAGACAATTATTTGGAAATCTCCCAATATCCATCATATCAAGATCAACTTTGGTGTATGTAGGAATGGGGGGGGACACCATGTGTGTATATGTATGTATGTATAATAAAAATGATTTATTTAATAATAGGCACATGAGTTTCACGGGTTTAATTTCATTGGGTTCGAGCTTAGCTCGATTAGCAAACGAGCCTATATATCGAACTCGAATTTGATTTAAAACTTGATTTAAACCAAGCCAAGTCGAACTTAAATAGCTCGTGAAAGGCTCAACTCATGATCACCCCCACCGATAGGCTAATGATAGCATACGCCACAAGTCCTGAGCAAGATAGGGACACATGGTGAATGCCAGATGAACCCGAGCAACCACCTGTAATGGCTTGAATGGTGGCACCTCGGAATCTAACACGTCCCATAAACGCGGAAGACACTCCTTGGAACTTATATAAGAGCACACTGCCCAAAGTAAAACTTTCCTCTGTCACTACCAGAACTTCTCTAAGCTTTCTAGCTCTTTAAGCTCTTCGGTTCATTCCGCTATAGTCTAACTCGTTTTAACCAGCTTCTCATAACTAATCACAATCTCATTCTTACTAACTTAAACATCTGAGTGCTCTTCCCTAAAAATCCTCCTCGAGACCTGAAGGTGTGCACAAGTTATCACATCATCCATCTCAGCTACATCATCAGTTACCAAAAACAACCTAAATGAAAAGGAAACCATGCACCGATTATGATTTATTGATCTAAGATACGAATGAACATGAGAAACCCAGAGCAGCTGGCAGTGGCAGTGACAGTGGGATTCGTCATCGCATTCCTGTTGCAGAAATGATCACTGAACCCAACTGCACCGTAACAATCCGGGAATGAGGGTTTTGTCATTCTCAGCCAAACTCTTTCTCCATCTAGCTTGCTAGCAAACAAACAAATATAATTATAATCAAAGGGGTTTGGTTTTCACGGCCATGTTTCTGCATCAAAACCAGACATCAATCCATGTGCAACCCCCCCTCAATCTCAATCAATCTCTCTGCCAATGCCCAACTCAGTTTAGTCTCTCTCTCAAAGTGGTCCCCTCCCCCGTGCGCAACTTAGCCATGCACAGTTATTGCCTTGGAGTCTTTCCCGGGTCAATCGGACCTCTTAAACCGTGCCCCTTCGCCCAGTACGCTCGATTATCTTTTCGATCAGTAAACGGAATTCATTGTTGACGCTCCCAAGATATTCTCTTTGGTTTTTTTTTTCCATTATAATTCGTGAGGAAGGATGGCTCTCAGCCTCTGTCGTCCTCTGTTTGCCACTATTTTTCTACAGAGCATGCCTCGTTTGTGTTCACCAAAATATCCCTTCCGGTTAAGTCTTGTCAAACGAGGTTATAACTTATATAACCCCAAACCGTCTGAGGCTGAGCTGGCTAATAAAAAGAAAGAAAATTTAGTGGCAACTCATGAATTCTTGCTTCTGGGATTGGGAGTTGCAGAGCTGCTTTCGCCGCTCTTCCTGTCCTTTTCCCGTTTAGCTGCTCTCTGCCCATGTCTTTTCCCCTCTAGACTCTAGAGGGGTGCCCAACTGCCAAGGAATGGAATGGGGTCAACGCATCAAATAGAGCATTGATGAACTTGTTAAAGGTCGTAGCCCATGCCCTTAGGGCATGGAATGGAATTGAGTGCCTTGACCCGGCCGAGTGTCCGACCCATTTCATGCCCTATTAATACTGAGTTCATATCTCCGCCCCACAGCACATCCCGCCGTGTATTGTAAACATCTCCTGATGATAGTATTAATCCCGATGACATCATCATCGGGAAATGTTCACAATACATGGAGGGATGTTCTGTGAGGCGTTTGTGGGGTAGCTTCTTGTGGGGCGGAGATGTGATTTCACTAATACTAACCCTGCCTACCCCTCCATTATGTGACAGGGGACTGGGGGAGGAGGGGGACAAATTCTTGGAGAACTCTCTAATCTGCTAATCTTGACCAATAAATGTTAAGAGTCGATTATCTTACAGCAATTTTGGATGTAATGTTTATGGGAATGTTCCATCTTAATTCTCATGTGATGAGATTAGTACAAGAATTAGTTCCCACATTAACGAAGATAATGGAAATGAATTGATTTTCAAAATCCAGAAATTAATGACCAAAAAGGCACCACTTCTTGTGGTGATCAAGCAATCAAACGTGCAATAGCAAACCACAATTAAGTCATATTTAATACCTCATTGCATCCAAGCATATTTTCCTAAGGCTGTGTTTGGTTGTAGTGCAAATTTATTTGCACTTTTATGAGAGTGCAAATGTTAAAAATGCAAATTCTTGTTTAATTTGGTTTTGGATTTTACTTTATTCTGCTTCATGTCTTAATTTACTTCATTTGTATTGCAATCAAATAAAATAAGCTAAAATTTGAAACAAAAATAGGTCAGAATTTATGCTCAAATCATTTGCACTTTCATGATTTTGCATCAGTACAAATTTATTTACATTGCAACCAAACACAGCCTAAAACAAAAAACACAAACAGCACATTTTTGGTTGTATAGTTTTTTTTTAATGGAAAATCTAGAAAATGCATTTCTGATTTCAAAACATGATTTCTTCTAGTGGTTTGATGTAATGTTTAATAGAGTATATAATATTCATACAGATATTTTGATCCAATGGATATGTATCCATATTATTATTTTTTATACCCAAGTCCATTTAAATGGGAGCTTTAAAACTGCACTTTCTTGGTTTCAGAAATAAGGTTCTTTTTCCAAATCAGACTAAAAATATTGAAAAACCATGTCAGCTGACTGGAGAAGACCCCCCTTACTGAGGTCAAATGTTGTTTGCTAATGAATGACCCATTGGAGCTAAAAAGGAGTTACTTTTCTATTTCACATGAACATAAAAAATGCTCCATTTAATTTGAATATTACCAAACACCACCTTAATATCCATAAACCCCATGCTTGAACACTCATATTATGTTGGTACAAACCTTAGGAAAAGATTCTTGGTTACTTCATTTGAAATTGGATTAAAAACAGAAAAGGTACAAATGCTGGGATGAACAAAGTCCATTCTGGATGATTGGGACATAAAATTGTCTGATCACCCTGAATATCTGTACATGACCCAGGAGAGAAACAAGTGCCCAAACAACACAAATGAATGATAATGATTTATGAACCCCACATGGCATTATATAACCCTAAGTTGAGGATTCCCTGCTCTCACGACAAATTGTTTAAGACAAGAGTTACTCAATAATCAGGAATTCCCCCCCCCCCCCAATTCTTAATTTTGTGGTAATAAACTAATTGTATTGTAAAATAGGATTTGGTGTTAGAATGATAAAGGGTCTACTGGTCTACTGAACCAGAGTGAACAGTAGAAAATGGAAAGAGAGGAAGGGAAATATAAACAGCTCCTCCCAAGATCTTCATCAACTTTGAGTATCATAGCCCATGATTATGGTCTACTTAATTAAAAGCTTGAGGATGTACTTTGTTGATGGAAAAGTTGTAAAGATAAGATAGTTAATGGGCCTAATGCAGATATCTCATGGATGATAGATCTAGTATGAGAGGAAGTGAGTCTTCTGTCCACCAATTCATCAGCACACAAAGCAGACATCCAGGCTGATGATAGAACTGAGGACCCAATATTCCATGGATAAATGTCTAGAAGATACCCTTAGACCAAAATTTAGCCGAGAGTCTGACTATAAGAACTGTCCTCCTATTGGAAGTCTAAGGACCATTAATTTCCATGGGCTTCTGGCAACTATCCAATTAAAACAATGGTTGAGATCATAAGGTCATGCTGACTTTGACCTGGAAGATCATTTGATGGAAGCCCATGAATGGTGGAGATCGATTTCTTGTATGTGTGCCACGTGTCCTACAATGTGCTTTGGGGAGCTTCACACTTCACTTATATAAATATAATACCCTATATGGTTTCCCCCTAAGTTTATTAGCTGTTTAGAAATGCCAAAATCTTAATAATGGAGGTGTATCTACCACTTGTGATCTGTCCCAAGAGACAAAAGCACCCCTTTCCTAATAGCAATTTTGAAAGAATTAGGACACACAAATCAAACATTCAAAGGGCATTTTGATCCTTTAATAGATAACTTTGATACCTTTGATCTAGTTGGGGATTGAGCCATCACATGCCAAGAAATTTCCCTCATGTGACCACATGCTCTGGGACCAATACAATGTTATAATCTTGTAAGCAAGGTAATCAGCTTTATCACTTTGACTAACCATATTAAATGTCTATGCTCAAAAGGTATAAAAAAATAAATCCACTTTCAAATCTTAGCTTTCTAATAATTTGGAACCCACAAAACAAAAGATTTCTCTTCAATTCAATTCAGCCAATTAATTTTTTTTTTTTTCAGTTTTCAGAATTTTCTTAAAACCTGCAGCCTGCATTAATGACAACCCAAATGCCAATAATCAGAAAGTACAACAAATTAAGGAAGAGGCAATGAAAGGAAAAAGGGAAAGGAACAAGAGGGAAGGGAAGGGATGCTCAATTGCTGATGCTGTGAATTTGGAAACTATTATTGCATGAAAAATCAGAGATGTTGAAGTTGAACTGTTAGAAATTGAGAGAAGCTTTTAGCCTTTGTCTCTTACTTGGCTGAGGTGCCATGTGCTGTTCCCATATTATAAACACAGTCTTAGCTCACTTGTTTCAGCTTCACCAGACCATTTAGTTTAATATAATCACACCATCCCAACATGTACTAACCAAAGGAGAGAAATAAAATAATAGAAGAACAGAAGCAGCAGCAGCAGCAACCCTTTATTAATCACACACTCATGCAATCTCTAGAGAAACACACACCACCCTTCTCTGATCGATCAACTCCTGTCATGGACATGGAGGTCTCCCTAGAAAATACTGATGATCAGGCAACCTCCAGATCCATGGAGCCAACATCGAGCCCGCGGATCTCTTTCTCCGTGGATTTTCTCGACGACAACGACTTCATCTCTATAAGCCCACACTCTGAATCTCCAAACAGACAGGAGACAGAAAAGGAAAAGGCGCGCTTCAATGTAGACTTCGAGTTTCTCTCTGCTGCCAACTCTACCGGTAACACGATGTTGACGGCCGACGAGCTCTTCTTTGAAGGCAGGTTGCTTCCCTCTTGGCAAATGCAGCATTCCGAGAAGCTCAACAAGCTCAGCCTCAAGCCAAAGGGGACGGAGAAGGAGGAGGAGGGAAGGGGGAATAATAAGGAGATGATGATCAACAAGGATCAGCAGGATAGTAGAGTAAGCAGCTGGTTCATCGACGATGACCCATCTCCTCGCCCACCCAAGTGCACTGTCCTCTGGAAGGAGCTGCTGAGGCTGAAGAAGCAGCGAGCATCTACATTGTCGCCATCAGCGTCGTCGTCGTCCTCCTCATCTTTGTCGTCGACGGCCTCGGCTTCATCAGATGTGTGCCCCATGGATGAAGAGAAGGATCCCAAGGAAGGCAATAAGGAAAGGTTGTGGAACAGAGAGAAGCATATTAAGAGGATAAAGAAAGGGTTGGAGAGGACAAGATCAGCCAGCGTTAGAATAAGGCCTGTCGTCCATGTGCCCATCTGCACCCAAACCAAGATAAGTGCTTTTCCGCCATTATTTCATCTTAAGAAGCCAAATTTAGACAGGTGATCAGAGGCTGTCGAGGCTCATCGCTCATCAGAGATCAATGTAGTTAGTTTCTTCTGTAGTATGTTTATGACTACTTCTTTCATGCTTTCCCTTTTTTTTCTCTTCTTTTTTATTAGTTGAATTTTCTTTGATGGTGGCTCTGATGCATTTCATGTAAACGTAACTTCTCTTTATTTTTTTATCTTAACTATTTGATTACTTTAACAATGTTAACCTTTTTTTTTTAATTTTTCCCCTTAATTTCTTACTATCACTAGATCTGGTATGATGAATTGATAATTGGACTTTTGTCTGTAAATGATCAAAATTATCTGATTATCTTTGTTGGCTAGGTTTGATTTATATAGAAATCCCCCAGATATTAAGAGTTCTAGAGATCAGAAGGTTGTGATTACCTGAAATTTTGATTTGATTTAAAAGAGAGAAAAAAAAGATCTCCAATGTAGGAGTAGGACCCATGTAAATTGGCCATCAGATAGGAATAATTAAGTGGATTTTTACCATCCTTCATCCTAATATGAGGATGCCCAACCTCAACCTCATCAAATCAAGACTGTTTTTAATTATCCGAACTTTGTTTTTGATTATATAACCGGATTCTTGGGGAATGGGGAGAGGCCGGTTGGTCTAGCTAACAGACCCCAACCCAAACAGTTTGGGATTGATGAGGTCTGAATAGACATAGTTGATGAGTTGAGTAGATGCTAGCTTGGTAGTGGTAGAATTTACAAAGGAATTAAGGTGGAGTAGCACAAGCAGAAGCAGTAGCACCTCTCTGAGACGGTACTCGCCAATGCACGTGGACAAAGGACAACTCAGCAGAGGCACTTGATCGATATGGGAAGGGACTGGTGTTTGTCCTTTTCTCCTTGTGTTGGGGCGTTGCACAGAGGTGAGGTGCAGAAGTTTTCTACTTTTCCCTCTTCTACTTCTAGCATCTTCTTCACAATTACATACGCATTACAGTACATACATCATCTACATACCAAGACGTGCAGAGCCTTCTACTACTTGATAACAGCTGAAGTGGCTGAACTGAATCAAATGTTTATTGTTTTGTCTTTTAGTGAATTAGTAAGATTTTTAAGGAGGTCAAAGGTTCCTTTTTAAGACTAACTGAAGTTGGATAAGTTACTATACTCGTGGATATTTTATCAAATGAGTGTGAAAGAGTCATCCATTTCAACAACTTCAACTGTTATCAAATGGCTCCTAACATCTTGAGAATGAAAGTTCAAGTATGAGGGTTGTCACTTTAAGGTTTCAAAACCATGGTTGACCCGGAAAATTGGACCATCTGGCTCAGAAATTGGCTAGGGTACGTATCGGTTCTATTTCAGCCCCAAATCGTTATTTTCTCAAAAACTGTTGAATTAGTCGACCACCTATTGATGCAGATGGATAAATTGTCAACCCATTTAATGCAGACAATGGTTTTCAGACCTTTTTTTTATTTTTAAGTCATCATCAGCTGATTCATTTAGACTAGATGGTTGAACTATTGACCTAAAAACCGGTGGCCAAAGCAATTCCAGTTCTAGGTTGATTTTTAAAACATTACAAAAAAAATGCACACATACAGAATCACATTTACTCCACCCTAGATAGCTGGGATCAAAAATTGCCCTAAGCATAGGATAACATCATTTTTACCTACATGGGTGTGGAATTTATTACTCCCTCCCTTAAAATCTCATCAAGATGACAAGTTTGAAAATGCAGTTCAAGCATGAGGGCTGCCACTTTTTACAAACATGCTCACACGCAGTTGGGACCAAATTCACTCTACCCTCCCAACTTTAGGTAGCTAGGACCAACAATCATTCACATTTAAAAATTTGTGTCATCTCTCCTCTTGGATAATAACTAAAAAAAATAAGAAGTTTCGCTTACTACATCTCATCTCATTCATGGAGTCGCAGTCAATTTTTCAAAAACATTTGTTTTCTCTAACCATTTATGCCCCATTCGTTTTTCAGTAAGTCACTTACCTGGGTAAATGCACTTACCTGGGTAAGTGTTTCCTAAGTAAGTGCATTTACCCATGTTCTTTTATTTCCAACGTAAATAAGGCAATGGCCATCTTAGCCATAAAAATTCCATTATTAAAAGGGATATTTTTGTCCCATCCAAGTATTGGCAACTTTCCCCTAGATGGAAAAGTTAATTTACCCACCTAGGAGATAGGTACCACTTATCTAGGTAAGTGATACCTAGGAAAATAAACTTTTCACTGGTCCACACATAAATCTGAAAAATGAACATGGGTTTTTTGGTCAATGGGATCAAAATCCAAAAATAGAATGCCCCCTTAATGCTCAACCAAACACGTACCATAAAAAAATAATAAAATAGCAAGTTTCAAGAAATCATTTTACTTGTAACCAAACGTAGGGGGTCCAAACTCCGAACCAAAGAAATCAACTTCTAATATAAAGCATATCATCATAGGTCTTTTAACGCACTCTTTTCTGTAAACGAACAAACTGAACGATGATGGCAATGCAAAATGAAGAATAACAAACAATAAAGAAAGAGAGAAAGAACAGAGAGTCACATGGACAAAAGATTTAGATGATCCATCATGCAGGTAAAAAAATGTACAAAGTACAGAAGAATGACCCTAAAAATCTGCAAGTTTGGCCACCATAAAAAATAAAAGCTTAGTAAAGGTCTGCAATGCAGTGGAACCCCTCCAGATGAGTCACCAATAAAATAAGATATTTGTCACAATAATGTTGTACAACCAAAACTACTGTAATATTATCATATGTAAGCATACTGCAGTATAGACAAATATATAAACTACATACTAAAAACAACATATGAGTTTGAAGGCTAACATAACATCTTGGCAATAATAAACAAATGATCAAATTGTAACAAGGGTCCTAGAGGAGATCAAGTTCATAACTTCATCCACTTAAATAAACCAAACAAATACCAGTCAATGATCAAATAGTGGTCTAAAGTTGAATGTTCTAAAAGCTGAACCAACCTCAGCATCTGCAAACAGCAAGTGTCAGGTGTGGTGGAGCAGATTCCAAATATGCATTATAATGTGATCCATACCCACAAACTAAATCGACAATAGCCCGAGATACCAAATTATTTTATTACAAATGTATTATTTCGGACCACAGTTTTCTAGTGCCCTTTTGGAACAGCTTATAAGCAATGTATGTTTGGTGAAAAAGCATGGAAAGCACAGATTTGGCTGTATTTCAGTCAACAAATTAAAGAAAGGCTTTTCTCATGAAGTTTCTTTTAGTGGCTTTTCCAAAGCAGCTCAAGGAAAACAACTCAACCAAAGCTTCATTCCTCCCAACGGGCCCTAAATGATTGAAATTGATTAAAAGCCATAAGCCATTGCCATATCCAAGCTAGCTTGGGGGTTTACCTGCATACCATATTTATCAGGGAGAGAAAGTAGATTAGCTGAATTTGATGGCTGTGGGACCAAATACCAATAATATTGCCTCACTCCTGCTATAAGGTGCAAATGGCTCAGAACCACTCAATGCACCGTACTGTTCAATGAGTGGTTGTGGTTTATCTTGGGGCTTATTATATCCGATTCTCTACATGAATATTAGATATGCATAGACCTCAGGCTGGGCCAGGCTCGGGTCTGAGGTCCAGTCCTTAGGGCTGGCTTTAAACCCGACAAACCCACCTAAGTTCGATCTTGCATATCTCAGCCAATTAGGACAAACCATAACCATGCACAAAGGCCTTTACATTACTTTCCAATCAAGCACAAAAGCATATGATATATCTTCTTGCTTCAAATGTGAGTAAAGCAAGCCATACTTTCCACGTGGTATTTCATAAGTGGAAGCTTTAGCACTCTAATATGCTCTTATGGTCATGGACTCCACCAATGGTGGATGGTAATGAAGCTTGAGTATTCTTCATCAAACATTATGTTTAGGATCCAGAGAAACCCTTCAGCGGATTGTTGATCAGATTCAAAAGAAAAGTCGTTATGAAAATTATTAGAATAAGCAAACAGAATCTCAACTTTGTGCTAAAACGATAAAAGTTGGGTCCATATCCATTATCCAGTCCTCTCCCACTACCTAGATAGCTAGGACTCTTATTGGGTATAATGGCCTTTTTGATAATATCTCTCTCCAGTGACTGAACAATCACTAATTCTTTGCTAGAATATTCCACTTGTTTCCATCTTGTCTGCACACCTGTAGTTTCAATACATGATTATATTGCTTGTTTCAATTGAATGGAAAATATGACATCAAAATTACCCAATTGAATTGGATTAATTCTGCATTTCCTAATCAAGTCTAGAATGTAATGGACATTTCACTCAAGAAGGAAGCATATAAGGAAGATGGCAACAAATGCTGAAAAAATGACACAGGATTTCTGTATCCACTTTCTTGATCTAGGATTGGTATGCACAGAAGAGAATCCAAAGGAGGGTTCCACAATCTCCTCTGCTGCACACAAGCACACTAGACAAAGTTCAGAAAGAATGGAGATTGAAAACAAAATTGATGCAAAACGTACAAAAAAGAAAGGGAAAGATACCATAAAGAAAGAAATCAAGGCAGCAATTGGTAATGATCCCAAGGAATGTTTCTGATGTTTCAGGAACAGAAAACACCAGACTATTCCCTTGGAACATCATTGAATACTCCCTAAGTTTCTCTAAATCTCTCTAGCAGCAGCTTTGTAGATTTCTTTTGTTTCTCTAATCTGGGTCACTTTTTAAAGTTATTTTTAGATTATTAATTTATAGTACAATAATTATGTTTAGTAATAGCTATTTTAAGAGTTGTTAGATTGTTTACAGAATATAGAGAAACAGAAGTTGCAATCCTATCACCTTTCTTGTTGTCTAAGTTTAGAATGTCAAAACTTATCATTTCAGTTGATTTTGATATTATATGTGTATTTCAGTTGTCTATCCGATAAGATGAAGATATCGGAATCCAATGAGATTTGAGAGGATCAAAGTCATTTTACTAATGGAGTGCCGATCATTGACAGGACTGCAACCTTTCTATTTTATTGTCCATTTTGGAATTGCTTATGATTTTGGTTCATTTAATTTTGACTTAGATTGTTAGTTGGCATTGTAAAGTTATTTTAAGAGTTAAAGACCATATTTATCTGTCCTTATAAATTATAAATGGGTTTACTGGAGTTTTGGTTTGAACTGTTATTATGACCCCCCAAAAAATGATTAACCCTATTACAAATCAACCAATAACCAAAAACAACTTAATTGCAATTGGTTTAGGAATTTGAAGAAACTTGATTTCTTCCATGATTTATTTCCCTTTTCCTATTGGCATTATTCCCTCCCGCCCTCCCTCCATACTACATTTCACCTTTTATTCCTCATTCTCTATATTTTCTTAGAATTGGTCTGTTCTATCTCTCTAACTTCAGGCTTTGCTTTCTTCTCCCTTTTTTGATCAGTAAAGAAGAAAGTTTTATTAATTCAAAGAGAGGATTTTAGCACATCTGGTTCAGATATTACAAGCACCCAAATACACAAGATTTTTTTTTATCAATAATAGGAGATTTTATTAAATTTAACCTCAAGTATTACAATAAGGTGGGAACTTTCTCCATCCCAAGGATAAATTTATAATTTTATAATTTTGCCCAAAACATTTGGTGCCTAGATGTCCCAAATACATAAGATTTGCATTTGCTTAATTTCTTATTGATAAAAATCTTAGTTTTAAATCATTATTAGCCTACTGAGTTTCACCTTTTATTCCTAATTCTCAATTTTCTGTTGCATATAAATTGGTTTGATATTTAAGAATGAAAAAGCAAGATGAAATCTTCAAACAGTTTAGACAAAGTAGCAAACATTGAACAAAATAGGGGCTCCTATTTTACCCCTGGCATATTTCTGTCCACTTAAGGGTGGGCCTTGGCACAATGGTAGGGTTGCTCCATTTTGACCAGGGTGACCATGGCTCAAATCTTGGAAACAACCTCCCTGTATGTATAGGGATAAGGCTGCATATCAGTTCCTCCCCAGACCACATTGTTGGGAACCTCATCTTGGCTGCCCTTTATGTTTCTGTCCACTTAAAAGAAGTTCAGATAAGCCAATCATACTAAACATGAGTTAGGATAATAACCCCTATTGCAACAGTTTCAATAATATGGCAATAAATTCATTTGACCTTTCTTTGGCCAGCAATGTGCTTTCTTCACTTCTATGTTACATGACATTGTGTAAAAGCTCAATGATACATATGTTGTACAACCATACCTAATGAAAAAATGCCAACATCAATTTCCATGTTTAGATACACCCAGAGCACATTTAAGTACATGGAAAATGTAAATGAAACATTTACAGATGTCTACAGGACTTTCACTCCTCACTAACGAATGTTTGTCAGAGCATCCAGAATATGTTGAGAAGGAAAAGAAATGAAAATATGTCTACAAATTTATCCCTGAAAAGCACCCACCAAAAACATGTATTAAAGATAGTTCTGAAATTCAACCAAAAGAAAAATAAATCCAATCTAGCAATGGCATAAAGATTTTTTAATTATAACACTGATATGCTTTACCTCCAAGTTGCAAACCATGCTACTAGTGAAGGTCATGGCACTATAAAATGGTTTCCAGAAGTCCTAAGAAGCACTCAAATCAGTTAATAGGTTGAAATGGAATTAAATAGGATGAAGGTGTGACACGATGGTTCCAGACTCACTTAAGGTTCAATCCAGGTTTCACTTTAAGGCTGTTTGGAACTTCACCAGTCAGATTGTTGTTCTGAATGAAGCTGAAGGACAATGAAAAGTAGAAATGTAAATATGTCCAGTCTCAAAACAAACTGCCAATCCAATGAAAAGTAGAAATGTAAGTATGTTCAGTCTCAATTCAAATTAAAATCCACAAAGGCTCAACTTATTGATGACATTGTTCATGTAAGTAAAGAAAGATAATGTAGCTAATAGCTACACCCAAGGATAACCTCACCTGCCTTTTGCAAGGAAAGATCCTATCTTGGTTTAGAAAAGAACTTTTATGGGAGTCTACAAATCTTGAGAGAATACTTGAATAGCCACCTTCAAATTCGAATCAGCTAAGAGTGGATCTTATCTATTAGTGCAATTTAGGGTATTCTTTTCTTGTTTCATACTTTCCCTACGGCATATCATGCTTAGGTATGTTCTTTAGGGGTAGGTTTATGTACAACCCTAATAATGTACCACTTTTTTAGAAGTTCAATAAAATTCAGATTGAGGGAAGGAGGTGGATAGGAGCTTGCATCCACACCTTGTACTTGTTGGCTATGAAAGCAAACTCTCTTAATCTTGGCTTTAGATGCAGGTGCTTATAACCGGATCTCCAGCCAGAAGACATTCAACTGCCACCATGCCAGTGAAGAGGAATAAAAGCGACTTTTGATGGATGTTGTGGGGGGAGGCAGATGGTAGACACAATTCTCATTGCTAATGCACTGATAGATTCCAGAAGAAGAGAGGGAACTCCATGTGTGATTTGTAAACTTGATATTGAGAAAGCCTATGACCATGTCAACTGGAATTGCATGGATCTTGTGTTGGAAAAAATGAAATTTGGGCAGCAATGGAGAAACTGGATCAGAGTTTGTATAAGTCCCCTAAATTTTCAATCCTAATTAATGGGAAATCTACGGGGTCTTTTGGTAGTTCCAGTTGCTTGAGACAGGGCGATCCCCTCTCCCCTTTGTTGTTCATCTGTGTTATGGAAATCCTCACTCTTTTTAGTAAGAAGGCTGCAAATTCTGGTTATTGGGAAGGATTTGCAATCTCCCCTGATAAGGAAAAGGCCAATATCCTCCAATTTGCAGATGATACCCTATGTTTTGTTGATGCATCTCCAATTTAGTTGGAAACAGTGCTTGGAATTCTGAGCTGGTTTGAAGTGGCGTCTGATCTCAAAGTCAATCTGAGTAAAAGTCATATTATCCCAATGGGCCAAGTCTCAAATTTAAAAGAATGTAAATAAGTGATGGCTTGTCAAATCGAATTCCTCCCGGTAAAGTATTTGGGGCTGCCTCTCGGGGCAAAATGCTCTTCCTCCTCGACCTAGGTTTCAATTATTGAGAAAATGGAGAAAAAATTGGCTTCTTGGAAGGCAAAATATCTGTCATTTGGGGGTAGAGTGGCGTTGATTAAGAGTACCCTTTCTAACCTCCCCACTTATTTTCTCTCTCATTTCCCCATCCCAAACAAAATAGCAAATAGGCTGGAGCAAATTCAGAGGAACTTTTTATGGAGGGGATGGGAAGATGAAAAGAAGATTCACCTTGTAAAGTGGGAGCAAGTGTGTCTCCCTAAGGAAGTTGGTGGGCTGGGAATAAGAAATCTGAAGAAATTTAACTCAGCCCTTCTCAACAAATGGTTATGGAGATTTGCTAATGAAAGAAATGCTTGGTGGAGAAACCTTGTTGCTGCGAAGTATGGGGTGGAGTGAGGTGATTGGAGATCTAGGGAACCTCATCCAGGCTGGGGCAGATCTCTTTGGGCAGGCATATTAAAGAATCTTCCTATCCTCTTGGATGGGATCAAACTTAAGGTGGGAAAAGGGGATAGAATTAAGTTTTGGAAGGATCCCTGGTGTTTGGAGGGCTCCCTTCCCAAATTTCTGTGAATCAAGAATCTTCAGTAGCTGAGAATTTTAATCCTTCTGGTGGTTCCATTGTTTGGACCCCTCTTTGTAGGAAAAGTTTGTTTGACTGAGAGTTGGATGAGTATGTGGAGCTGTTGGGGCTACTTCAAAATCAGAAGATAGATATGAGTCTAGAGGATGAATGGAGCTGGAAATGGAATTCAGATGGCTGGTTCTCTGTAAAGTCCCTGGTCCTCAAGCTGGACAGTTCAGGTCAGTTGGACTTCCCTGCCAATCAGGTTTGGAACCCAATCAGTCCCTCCAAGGTTAATTTTCTGGTTTGGACAATGGCTCTTGATAAATGTCTGGCTAAAGCTAATCTGGAGAGGCGTGGCATTCAGATTCTGGATCCTTCTTGTGGTTTGTGTGGATCTCTTGCAGAAACTACAGAACATTTGTGTATTCATTGCTCAATTTCCTTCATGGTTTGGGGGCACTTCCTAAAGGCTTTGATATTAGTTGGGTTATGCCAAGATCAGTGAAAGAGCTGTTGGGCTGTTGGAGAATTGAGGGCCTCAGCAAGAAAGGAAAGCTTGTATGGAGTTCCATTCCTGCAGCTGTGTTGTGGTCCATTTGGGCTGAGAAAAACAACAGAATTTCTGTAGTTAATATAAAAGTCTGGATGAAGTAGTGCAGAGAGCTGTGGGCAAGTTAATCTCTTGGGTGTCAGTTACTGAGGAGTTCAAACATCAGAATTTGGCTATTTTGTTTAGTTCTCAGTCCTGGATGAGTTTGTAACTTGATTTATACCCGGGCAGTCTTAGTGGTCTGGGTTTTGCTGTATTAATTCTCTTTTTCTTTGTTGAATAAATTACATTAACTTTTTCCAAAAAAAAATGGATGTTGTGGGGGGAATCTAATCACCCAGCTCCAAGGAGATTAGCATCACCCCCAAGTTTTTGGACCAAAAGCTGCCTTGTATTACTTATCGTGTTGAAAGGGGGCCTTTGTTCTTTTTCATTCCCTCCATACATTAGCACACTTCTCCTTTGGGTTTCTAACTGTTTAATTAAATATCATAGAAAAGCCTGGTTATCAGATTTCTTCATCCTCTTTCTCTAGCTTTAAATTGCTTTTGGTTAGGGAGCAAGACAGTAGGTTCAAACCTCAACAGGTTGCAAGAACTTGTGGAGATAAGTTTCAGCAGTTTTTGAGCATTATTGAAACATTAAGATGAGTTCTTCATATTCCAAAAAGGGTGGGAGAGACAGATAGCAAGTTCCAGGATTGCCAAAACACGAATATGACACTTGTACAATTCCAGCGAAGTATTCACTGCAGGTTCTCTCAAACATATGAGAGAAAACCTTTGAAACAACAAGCATTGAGCCTTTGGTTAGGTTTATAAGGACTCCAATCTAAGAAGTAAAACTCTAAAAAAATGTTTAGGAAAAACTGCTTTTTTAATGGTCATTACATATAAGCATGGCATAGAACAAATGAATCACCCAGTGATAAATTGATTGCAATAAAGAGATTTAAGATTTTGAAGAAAAATAGTAGTATAAAAGAATATGACAAATAAGACAACAATAAATAAATTTGCATTAGATGGTGTATGGCAGCCTAAATCTGTGTGTTTTAGCTTAAGAGAGTAGAACTTACAGTTCTCGTAAACTGTCAATGTCCCCCAGTGATGGAGAAACCTCTCCACTGAATACATTGTCCTCCAAATGCCTTAGGTAAAGTATGACAAAAAAATTAGGCACTGTAATATTAAGTAATGGAAAGCAACCACATAGCTGTGGCAGAACAGGTTCTGGTTCTGTAGATCGTGCTAGTTGCAACCCACAGTTTGAAAAGAGAAAAATAAACAAAGATAAAGTGTATTGACTACAGTTCAGTTTAAAAGCTGTGGGTCTAGGGCCTAAAAGCCCATGAGATCATTTAATATGAGACTTCATGAACCACCATGTTCAGCTTCAAAAAACAAGTGCAACATGTACATAAATAACAGAGAAGCCCATAGGCTATAACTTACAGTGTCTTCAGCCTCTTTAGTTGGCTAAGATCAGGAATAGACCCGGTCAAAGTGTTATTCCCGAGCCATCTGTCAAACAAAAACATAAGAACATTAATAAGATAACATTTTCATCACCAGATACTGTTTTATACGAAGTAACAAACTTTGGAGAACTTACATATCAGTCAATGCAGTTAACTTGGCAATATTAGGTGATAGAGATCCTTGGAGGCCCAAGCTTGACAGGTTTCTGGAGAAAAATAAAAATTATTTAACAACAATACAAGGACTGAAGTTGAACCATAGACAAGAAACGTACATGAACGTCAATAGCAATTCCCAACTCACAATGCTACAACACGAATCCGGGTTCCTTCAGAACATGTAACTCCTGTCCATGAGTATTGGCGTGGTAAACAGGGATCACCATTCCAATCAAGTGGAGGATTTTCTAGACTATTCTTCATTTTCTCCAAAGCAACTACTGCAATAGGCAATGGAAACATAATAATTTTAGCAAAAGATATTACCAATGAGGAAAAAGATTGATAGAAATGGAAGAAAAAAATGCTCCTTTTACTGCAGTCCCATTCCAATTTATGGGAGCTGCATACATAAACATGTCATTTATCTAGACTGTCTAGTTAGTCAACCGCTTCTTGGATGGGCCCTGGCACAGGAATTGCAATGATTGGACATTCAACTGCCCAATGTGATGAAATTTATAGTCAGGGTATCTCATTGTACAGGATATTGCCGGACCATTATTCACCCCATTCTTAATTACCTTCTTCAGCCTGCAATATTATAGAATCATATAAGATGCTTAGGTATGCAACTATCAAATACGTATGGTTCAATATATATATTCCATCCAAGAAGTGGCCCAACCACCTTGACAGCTTCCAGAACTCTAGGAGCCCTTTGAAAAGACACTAGATTTCTCAACATAAAGTATAGGTTTCAGTAGCCAAACCATCTCGTGTAACAGTTCTTCCTCCAAGGAGCAGCAGATCAAAGACTTCTCCAGCATTGATTAAGGGACTCACATCTGATCCAATCACAGGAGTCAATTTTATCTCTGTAAGACCAGAGAGAGGCCAGTGGGTTGCAAAAACAACAACACCAGCTTGAGTGACATTCAGATTTCTGTAAAACTCTATTCCATTTATACTGATGTTCAAAACCCTTGAATTCCCCGTGGAGGTATCACGGTTGTCAGCGAAGTATAGAGCAATGTAGTAGCTGGAGTTAGGAAGAGGTCCTGGAGGCCAGTGCAACTTCATGGGTTTTCCTTGGTCAGATATTAGCTCAGTGTCAAACACCTTTGAGGGTGGAAGATTCCAAAAGCCAGAAACCGAGACATTTCTGATGCTCTGTATTGTAGGATTACTGTCTCCAAATGGCTCCCAGTAGCGATCAAACTGATCATCAGGAAATCTGAAGAAAGAAAACAATATTGAGATATTTCTAATAAAACAATGTTCAGATAATTCCAATGAAAAGTGCATAAATTGATAGAGATAAACAAACAAAAAAAATCTTATAAAGATTTCCAGAGGTTTGAAATCCAAATTAGTTACAAGACAACCCTTACCACGTTCTCAAACTAAGACTCACTCATAAACAAGCTAGGATTTTTCTCTTTCCTGAGAGCTTGTCTAGATTATAGTGCTTTTCTATACTGATCTTTGTAAAGATAAGCAGTGTTTATATTTCTTTATCTGAGTTCTTTATTTTCTTCTTGTTCAGTTTCAAAATTTTTATTATAGACCTGGCAATAAATCAAGTTTCCATAAAGTGGATAAATAGTAAAATCAAAGGGACAAAAGGGGAAAAAAAGCAATAGCCCCACAACTGATCATAACCAACAATTAGACAAAAATTAAAACATGAAACTGCAATGAATTGTTAGAAGATGGAAATGATAAATTGTGATCACAATGGCTAAATCTAAATTATTCAAAAATCAAAACTACTAATTTTCACATGGCATTACAGAGACATAGCACAACCCATTACTAAAAAATTAAAAGATGGAAAATAAATTAACACCAGCTCCACGACTAGAAAATAGAAATCCTAAACTTAAGTTCCCTATAACTTACTTGATGATGGGTCCTCCATAACCAAAATTGTTCCTTGCAACCAAGGCCAGGCCATATTTACCGAAATCTGTAGAGTTGTACAGTGAATTGCCCAGAAGCACAACTTCTAATGCAGAAATGAATGGGTCAGAATTCGTATACGTGTTTGAAGCAATACAAACACTCAATGTCTTCCCAGCAGCAAGAAACACCCCCTCGTAGTAAGATGACATATTCCTCGCGTAATCCTCCGTCGTATTCACAACACTCCAGAATGTCCCATCGACAATCTGATCAAAAACCGGCGGTGAGTCTTTACCATTGACTCCCCCATAGAAGTATATGGTTCGGACGAGGTACTTGGCACTGCGGTACACCGGAACAACGTAGCAGAATTTCCGACGGGTATTGCCATCGAGAGGGAAAGACCGAACGGTGGAGAGAGTTGGGACAATGTCGGGGATGTTTATTGATTTCGGAACACCAGCAGATACATAATTGGTGTCTGGGAGCCATTCTCGGCCGTCGATCACAGAGAGTTCTGTGGCACCACAATCGATGAAGTAGCCTGAAAAAAAAAAAAAAAACTGGTTAAGAAACCGAAATTGAAATTCAGACATAGAAGAAGTCATAATTGAAATACTACCTTTAGGATGCGAGGGCTGAGAATATACGACGATGAAGAGAGAGCAGAAAAAGAGTGGATAGAGAAACGGCATAACTACAAATGTGAGAACACACGAGAGAGGATGACAAAGAAAGATTTGGAAAAATATAGTTTGGGTTTGAACGAGGTGTTAATGAGCTAAGGAAGAAAGGAATATCGAACGAGAGAGAGATGAAGTTTGGAGAAGGAAAGGAATTTCTTTCAGGCAGATATACAGAGTTGAAAAAACGCAGGAAAGATACACGTAAGAGGTAAGACGTTGTTACTGGTTTGTTTGTGATTCGTTTGGCGTAAGTTTGGATAATTTCAAGTAAAGTAGTTTTGCGTCAGTTTGAGTCAAATTAGAAATGCTGCCAGCAGACGCGTCGCACATACGCTGAGAAAACGACGAAACAGTAAAACTTTATACAAGTACAATATCGGGTCCACGTGCTAAGCCGGACCCATGACTATGCTGAATCAATGAGCTGGACACAGGTTAATCATGTCATGGGCCATGGCTTATAAGGCTATAGTAATACAATACACATCGTATGGCTCACCCAATATCCACCAATATTTTAGCTGAACGATTTAGCTGTTCAGCGCGCTGTGGAAACAATGATATGATTCCTGGGGTGTCAATTGGACTAGTCTAATCCAGTCCGATCCAATGTGAATTTATTATAAATGGTTCAGGTCTAATTCTAATAAATGTTTTGGACCAATTTAGACTGGTCCAATTTAATATCTGTATCATTTAATTTGTTCAAATTCATTTTGATTTAGATTGATTTTATCCATTGACACTTGTATTCTTATCTTATATTAATGGATTAGATATTAGCTTAATCCAACCCAATCTAATATAAATTTATTACAGATGAACCAAGTAAGGGTGAGTATTGGGTTTTTTTTGTTTAAAATCGAATCAAAAAATCAAAATTTAAAAAACCGATCTAACTATATGATAAATCAAACCGAAACCGAAATATTTGAAAATTCAATAAATCGAACCAAAATTTTTTTCGATTATTTTAGTTAAAACCGAATATCATTTAACCTGAGCGAAGGAGGCAGATTTTGTGATTTTTTTATGAAAAAATTCATGGAAAAGGTTTTAGATTTTTTTATGGGAAAATTTTGAATAAGAAAAAAAAAAGGTTTCGAAAGAAGGAGGAGTTTGGGAACGACGGCAAGTCGGCAATACAGACTCGACACTCGACGGCAGCAGGCACGGCGGCACAGGCACAGTTTGAGAATGACGGCAAGAAGAAGAAGAAGAACGACGGGCGACGTCGACGGCAACTGGAGGTGAAGAAGAACGATTGAGGTCTGAGGAAGGAAGAGCGAAAGTCTGGCCGTCTGGGTCTGGGACTCTGGTTTGATGGTCTCTGGAGTCTAGAGTCTAGAAGACTTAGCGGCTTAGTCTTTGTCTCTTTGACACCCGCGCAGGCTTTCAATCTTTCGCATTGAGGAAGGAAGACGAAGAGTCGAATAGTGAAAGTGTGAAACTCTTTCAGACTTTCACTCTTTTAGACTTTTACTTCCGTAATACGTTATGCTTATTTTGGAAATTTGGCAAATAGTCAAATCAAATACGTATTAATTTATTAAATATTAATATAAAATTATAAATATAATATAAATAATATTAAAAATATATAATTATAAAATTAAATCGATTTTTTCGGTTAATCAATTTACTAAATATGATAACCGAAACTGAAAACCAAAAAACAAATAAACCGAATAGCAAAACTGGACCTGACCGAAAAAGCGATTAGGCCGAACCAATTAAACCAAAACTAAAGTATCAGTTCGGTTTCTCAGTTTTAACCGAATTATGCTCACCCCTAGGACCATGTCCAATCCAATCTAATAAATATTTTGGACAGATTGGTCTAATCCAATATGTCTTGTTGGTCTGTCCAATCCATCCAAATTGATTTTGGACTGAACAGGATTCAATCCAAAACCGGTCTATTGACACCCTTTCCACTTCCATGCATGTAATAAATTCATGAGCTAACCCAAATTCTTTTCTAATCATGCCATGCAACCAAATGACCAATCAGCCATAGGGTTGTTTTTGTACAAACCCTGTTTCCACCTTAAGGCTCAGTTTGGAAAGAGTACAAATGCAAATATGCTCACCCTTAGGATCAGTTTTAACCGAATTATGTTCACCCCTAGGACCAGGTCCAATATAATCTAATAAACATTTTGGACCAACCAGATTGGTCCAATCCAATATGTCTTGTTGGTCCGTCCAAATTGATTTTGGACTCGACAGGGTCTAATCCAAAACCGATCCATTAACACCCTTTCCACTTCCATGCCTGTAATAAATTCATGGACTAACCCGAATTCTTTTCTAATCATGCCATGCAACCAAATGACAAATCAACCATAGGGTTGTTTTTGTACAAACCCTGTTTCCACCTTAAGGCTCAATTTGGAAAGAGTACAAATGCTTATACATTTTGCACTCTATATATTTACATTTATACTCTTTCCAAAGTGAGCCTAAACGTTTTGAGCTGAGCAAGAAGAATTGAGATACAATTATTATTTGAGGCCGTTCATAATTGAAACGGGCATACCTTTCAAAATGCGTAGATTTGTAAAGTATCAAATTGATTATTGTAGCTGAAGTTATTCTCATATATGACGTGATAATATAAATCTCTTACCAATTTGTATCGATAGATTACCAAATAGAACCTATTAAATGATAAATAGTCACTTCTCTCACACACAAAAAATAAATAAATAAATAAAAAGAAAAACAGTAAAGTTGGGTTGCATTTGCACTGGATTGGAAAGTTGTTAAAAGGAGTATTTAGTGTAAATGAATTGAGTGTATATTGGTGTTGCCCTTTGTTTTTGTTTTAACGTTTACCTCATTTTGTTTGTTTGAAGTGCAAATGATAAAATCTGAAGCAAAGTAGAATAAAACCCAGAGCAAAACTGAATCAGAAGTTGCACTCTCTCATTAGAATTTCCATGCATTTGTAATAGTGCAAGTGGAATTGCATTGCAAAGTGCAAATAAGTGGAGTTAAATGCAACGATCACGTGTAATATCAGGCCTGGACCTTGATGTTTCCATTTATTTGGATTTCATCTTAAGGTTCTTTTCGTTTTTCAATAACTATTTACCCGGGTAAGTGTTTCTCAGGAAAGACTTACCCGAGTAAGTGCATTTACTCATATTCTTTTATTTCCTATATAAATAAGGTAATGACCATTTTAATCATAAAAATCCATTATTAAAAGGGACATTTTTGTTCCATTAAGTGTTGGCAACTTTTCTAGGAGATGGATATCACTTACACAAGAAAATTAACTTTTCCTATTCCCCACATAAATCTGAAAAAAGAACATGGAAAAATCTTATTGACCAACTCCCCCCCTTTCAAAATCTAAAAAAAACAGAACGCCCCCTACATGATATGGGGTATTAAATTGTCTCCCATAAGGCCATAATTGTAGATGGCTTCACCCACTCTCACTGTGACTTGGAACCTTTGAAGGACTATTAGTTACATGCTTTTCTTTGGGCTTAGTTTGCAAAGAGTGCAAATACAACATTTGGAAATGAAGTATACAAGGTTTTGCACTGAAAATATTTATCTTTACACTCTTTCCAAACTGAGCCTTTACGGAATTTACTGGTTGTATTTGTACCACTACTTGAAGTGTTTGGTGGTAATGGATACAAATTTTTGAGAAATATGTTATGACATTTCAACTAGAAAAAATGTTTGAATGGAATTTGCATTGATCAATTAAAAAATGTGGTAAAAGAAAAAAAAGATATCTTTTCACAAATTTGTATTGACCAACCCCAAATATTACACAACACAAAATTACTAAAGCTTCCCCTACTCTTGTATCTTTTGAAGTGTGTGGCTATGAGGCAAGGCTTGAAGCTTGCCAACGAGTCTCTCACGCTCTCTTTGATTACACTTAATCCATATTGATTATTGACTTATTGCAAGCTGATGAAGAATAACCTAGATTATTTTAAAGTGTTATATTTCAGTAGAGCTATTTGGTTCAGCTCAACCCTGGGTTGTAGGCCAGATCGAATTACAGGAGTTTCAATGAAAGACTGGGTTGTAGAAAGAGTTTTGAATGCAAGTCCGTTGAATGACAATTCTTGATTTGAATTTCTGTTATAAAATAATAGAAAAGGTAGAATGGAACTTATCAGTAATCAATTTCTAAATCAGAACTTGCAAAAATTTATTATTACAGAATCTAGAAACTGAGAATTGCAGAAAAAGAAGGACTGAGTCGTTCCCTCCGACAATTTCTGATGGTGTCTTTTGTTCTGTGGAAAATCTGGGAAGAAAGAAACAAATTAAATGTTTTGCAGCCGGGTGAGGTGCTACAGATGGCTTGTCATTTTGTGACTGAGTGGTCAAAGTGTGGCCTTACGTGGATTTCGTCCGATCCATGATGGTGCTTGGCTCTCAGGTGATTTTTCTGAAGCCGAGGTTGTTATCTACACTGATGCATCTGTGAATGATGTTTAATTGAAGTGTTACGTTGCTGCATGGATTAATTGTGTTGGGCAAGGACAAATCCGGTTTCTCAAGGCTGGAGTCTCGTCTTCCACTTTTTGGGACACTAAGGTGGTTGAAGCTGAAGCGATCTTAAAGCCCTTACTTCTTTCTCCTGAGTTTGCTCCATCGAAGCTCCTGGTGCTCTCTGATAAATTTAAATATCATTCGTGTGCTTTGGGGAGGGTCCCGAGCTTGTTCGTGGGCTTCTCAAACTGCCATTTCATGATATTCTTCTCTTCTTCGTTTTCCTCTATTTCTTCGAATGTGTTAGCCCACACTCTTGCTGCTACGTGTTGGGCTAATGACGGTCATTTCATCAGGCCTGATGTTTATTTCTGAGACTTTTTTGGTGAATGTAGTAATGTAGTATATATATATATATAAGTGTCATATTGATGTGTGCCTTGAGACACCAATTAAGGCAAGTTGGCGTCATGGTTTTCAAAACCGGACGTGCGGGATGATTGGACCAGAAAAATTAGGAATCGATTAGGTGATCGGTTCCATTTTATCCAAAACCATTATTTTGCCAAAAAAAATGTTGATTGGTCAACAAACCTCTGACATGGGCGGTCAAACCGTTTGAACCTACCAATGGTCTAACCACTTTTAAAATTTTTTGTCAGAGCAGGCCATTCGTTCGATTCAATCATTTGAACCATTTGACCCGAGAATCAGACTCCTGACTGGTTCGTTGTCCAGTTTGGTTTTAAAAACCTTGGTTGGCATCTCTCCAAAACTGGACATTGGAGGAGAGGGATCAAATCCAAAAACATAGGCTCTCTATGGTAAGGTCGGTGGACTTCAAGTTTGTTGTGTTTTCAGTGTCCTTTAAGTGTGATTCAAGAGTTTTATTAAGATCATTTTTTTCTTTCACATATGTCTACACTTTGCCAACACTAGTACTCTCGTTCTTTTAGGCTCCATTTGCTTTTCAAGAAGTTACTTATCCCGGCTCGGGTAGGTGTATTTACCCATGTTTGTTGATTTTCTAGGCAAATAAGACGATGACTATTTTAGCCATAAAAAAAATCCATTATTAAAATGGGCAATTTTGTCACATCCGAGTATTGACAACTTTCCCCATTACTCATCAGCCTGGGAATCTAGGAAATGGGTATCATTTACCCATATAAGTGAAACCCAGGAAAAATAAATTTTCCATAGACCCCACATAAATCTAAAAAAATGAGTATCTTGGTCAATGGGAACCAAAATCCCATTAACCAACTTCCCCATCTCAAAATCCAATAAACAAACCCCTACTTAAAATTTGAGCCTCCCTCCATTTCTTAAATTCTTTTGACTCTAGTAGTTTTTATATAATTCCACATGAAATAGTTACGAGAAGAAGTTTTTTGAGCTAATTACTATGAGTTGGTTTTTTCTGTATGGGAACCCCGAACCCAAATAGGAAGTGTAAACATATACTTTCTCAAGAGTTGCCAATGGGTCTATATAAGCACATAACTTGCACTAGATTTTGTCCCAAGGTATTTATACATGTTTTTGTGGTAAATTTGACTATGTCAACGTTTTTAAGAACTAGGCTGCCTAAAAACTGTTTTGGCTACTAGTTCACATTCCGACAGTCCGACCATCAGATCAGGCTCAGGTCCAAGTCTGGCAATGCTCCTTGGGTTCAGACTGCAGGAACTGAGCTGCAGCATAGAGCCCTCATAAGGTGTTGGATAATTCTTGGTGGAGATGAGAAGGATCACTAATTCACTATCTACTCCTTGTAACTGCATTTATCTAAAATCAATAGGTAGTGATATTAATTATTCTGAGACTTTCCTTGAAGCTGACTTGAAAGCAATTATTCATTAGCCTTCCCTTGTGGCCAGTAATATGCCTTGCACGCTGCCATACATTTGCAGTATTTGCATTTGTAAAAAGAGGCAAATTCATTGAATGATGTCTGTGCAATCGAATCTAGAAAACAAATAACCATTGCTATAGTACAAAATTCAGCCACCTCAACTTACAATTGCAGTTCATTACCAACCCCCCCCCCCCAAAAAAAAAAGAAAAAGAAACAAAGAAAGAAAAAATCCAAGATCAGTGACACCTTAAACACATCTAAAATGTACAGCAAAGGCAAAAGGAATACTTGCATCTGACAATGATTAAGATTTTCTACTGTTGATGATGAATATTTGTGAGAGAATCTTTTGAAATCTGCCAAGCAGGAAAAGAATCAAATTGATTGTATACATGGCACCATTTTGCATGTAAAACTAGTCACTTCAAACTGCACTACTAGCTTTTATTCCATCAGTTTACATTTGGCAAGTGTGCTAAACCAGGTTAACTTTCAGTTCTCGTATTGTGAATATGCAATTCTCTAAGCACCCATCCACAACATGTAGTAGAGCTGATTCTGGATTTATAAGAAGAAGAACTGGATTTAATCTGTTAATGATAACAATAGTTTACTATTACAATGATCTCAAGGTTTTAGCAGTCAAAACACTGCCATATTTTACCTTCATGCACAAATTTAAGTCATTGGAGGCGGTGGTTGCACTAAATGTTGGTTTCCAAAAGTCCTAAGAAAAAAAATAGATCAAATATTTGATTGAGTTGTAGAAAATAAATGCCAGAGATAACTTGAAGGTGTTCAGACTCACTTAAGGTTCAATCCAGATTTTACTAAAAGGCTGTGTGGAACTTCACCAGTTAGATTATTGTTTTGGATGAAACTGAAAGGCAAAAGAAATGACAACTGTAAGTGTAAACACATTGAGTCTCAAATAAGCCTTTAAGTCAAAATCTTCAATAAATAAAATAAATAATGCAGCACCAAGAAACTATACCCAAACAGTTGACAAATTGATTATATTGCACATGGAAGGGCATCGAGTCAAATTTAGCTAGCAGGTATGACTAAGGATAAGGTAAGAGTATCACTTCAGATAAGAGGAAGAAAATATAGTGATATGGAGATTTAAGTCCATGTGGTTGACTCTAGATGCTTCTTAAACCAGATCTCTGGCCATTCAACTACCACTTTCTCACAAGAGGAAGGAGAGAGATAGAAAAGAGAGGAAAATATAAATTGTAAAATGCATATAAATATGCATACTCCTAGGGGGAAAGGACTATGTAGTATGTACTTGTGACTGCTAATCTCAGGTTGTCAACAAATCCAGTAAAAGGCACAATCCTCGTCCTGACTTCTAACCACCAAGGTATATCAACCAGAACCTTTATTTCTCCTCCTGGTTTGCCAACCAAAGCAGCAGCATAATTTGGAATTCCTATTAAGAGGAATGATAAGGCCATAGTAAGCTTCTCATAGGGGTTACCATTGCTTTGAAAAACCATGTATCCGGTACATCATGTAGGACACTGTTTCATGTGGAGTCCTAAACTGACTGACAAATACATCAGATCCCATATGATGTACCAGATTCATGGTTTTCAAGTCATAGTACCCAATGTTTGAGAAGTTCATCACCAGAACTGCTGCCTAGATAGCAATTTTTATGGAAGTACCCAAAAAGTGAACACTAGGTGAACAAATCAATCAGTTAATGGTAGATGGGTTACAATATAAGGGATTTGGATGTATAGACCATCCAGGGAAAAAAAGTGAAAAATAACATAAAGAAATAGCAACAAATATTCATGCAATGAAACAACTTTGCAGTCCAAAAGGCATGCATTTAATCTTTAGAGAATAGAACTTACAGTTCATGCAAATAAGCAATGTCCCCCAGCAATGTAGGAATCTCTCCACTGAACTGATTGTCCTCCAAATGCCTTCAGTGAGTGATGACAATAAATTATAAAGAGTGAAGATGTTGTTTGACAGTTTCCAAGACTTCCGACAAATGTGGATCATGCAAACCCACAGATAGAAGGGTGAAGAAATAAAGAAACAAGTATGAAAATTACATCATCACAGTCTAATAGTAAATGGGCTAGGCCTCTAGAATTTAACAGCCCATGACCATCTAAACTAATATGGTGCCTTAGGCTGTGTTTGGTTGCAATGCAAACGCAAATATGTACACTGCATATTTACCCTTTTCTCGGTTCATGAATGCAAACACAGGTTCACATTTTAAACCATTTTTGCACTCATCTTGTTTGTTTGAAATTGGTGCAAAATGTGGGCCCATCATTAAATGCTGCAACTATCTTATGCTCCAATGGCTTAACTTTGGTCAAAAAGTTAATTATCAAAAGGAACACAAAATTGTATCCAAAAAATAGGTACAGTAATGCTCTCTTCTCAGAGTACAAAAGTATCAGAAAATACATTTTTGAGCTGATAATCATTACTTTTTTACATATCAAACAAATGCTCACAAACATGAACCAGAGTACATAAATACCCCGGTTCAGCGTTTGTATCACAAGCAAACAGAGCCTTACAAACAAACATACTTTATGTTGTTACATAAAATATAAGCCAGGCATTAAAAGCAATGAAAGAGAAACCGTGACATACAATGTTTTCAGCATCTTTAATTGGCTCAAATCAGGTATTGGCCCCGACAAAGAATTGTTCCCAAGCCAGCTGTCCAGAAAACATAAGGACATTAATAAGAAAAGTCTGGAATACCAAATCATCTCTTCCCAAAGTAATTAAGTTTCAAGAACTTACATGTCAGTCAACGCAGTCAAATTGGCAATTTTAGGTGATAGAGATCCTTGAAGGCTCATGCTTGTGAGGTTTCTGAGAAAAATACCCTAAAAGTCCTTTAACAACAATTAAAGGATTGAAATGAGCCATAGAAAAGAAATCATGATTGTAAATCCCAACTTACAAAGCAACCACACGAGTCTGATTCCGGTTTCCTTCAGCGCAAATTACTCCAGTCCATGAGTATTGCTGAGGAAAACAAGGATCACCATTCCAATCAAGTGGAGGATTCAGTAGACTTCTTTTTACCTCTACCAAAGAAACTACTGCAATAGGCAATGGAATGTCATGTTAGAAAAACTTGTGTTTCATGATTTGGTAGTCAGAAGTACTTTTTTCCAGGACTTCATCCCCATACTTAGGGGAGCCATGCACATATACATAATATGTCTGCCAATTTATCCTGATTGCCTAGTTGATATGCCACTTCTTGTATGGGCCATGGCCTAAGAATTGCAGTGGTAAGCAACTAACAGCCCAGTGTGGTACAACATTGAACCCTTGTATCACAGTATACAATCTTTTTCCTAACTATGCACCTTATTTTCGTCTATACTTTGTCCAGCCAGTCATGTTAGCTCTAGACAAAATGGTTAGGTATGCCAAATTGGTATGACTTCAAGCTACATTCTCCATCTAAGAAACTACTAATCATGTATTCATGGTCTCCTGGAGAAGTTTGGAAATCCTTCTCGGAAAAGAAACCAGGTTTCCGGAACAAAGAGTAATGACACTTTTTCATACCATCTCGAGTAACAGTTCTTCTTCCAAGGGGCAATACATCAAAATTTTCTCCAGCATTGATCACGGGACCTAGAACCGATCCAGAGGAAGGAGCCAGAGTTATCTTCGTAAGGCCAGAGAGAGGCCATTTGGTTGCAAAAACAACAACACCAGTTGAAATCACATTTAGGTTGCTGTAGTATTCTATTCCATTTATGGCGACGTTCAATATTCTCGGGTTCCCCAGTGAACCATTATGATCATCCGCAAAGTACAGGGCAATATAATAGTTGGAGGCGGGAAGTGATCTTGGAGGCCATTGCAGTTCACTGTGGTTTCCTTGGTCAAATGTCAGCTTTGTGTTAAATACCTTTGAGGGTGGAAGGTTCCAAATACCAGAAACTGAGAGCTCCCTTAAGCTTTGAAATGGAGGACTAATCTCTCCAAATGGTTCCCAGTATCGATCAAATTTGTCATCAGGGAATCTGGAGTTTCAAGATCTCAAGCAAAAATTTTAGATAATTCTAGAAATGAGTAAAAGGAAAAGACAATACCTTATATACAGATTCCTATGGGGATGAAATCTAAATTAATTGCAAGTTACAACATAAACATAATACGGGGATTTCAAACCAAGTATCAATCATAAACTACAGGATTTTATTTTACCTCAGCTAAGTATTTTTTTTCCTTTCATTTTCTTTTCCTTTTCTTATTTCTTTTTGTTATGGAGAAGAGTAGTACAATGCATTTGGAGTTGGTCATTTAAACTACAATTTATTTATAGATTACTGGTCTTTCTAGGGTTTACAAATAAAGTATACAAGGTTTTGCACTGTGCATAATTGTAACTGTACTCTTCCCAAACTGAGCTGAGCCTTATTTACTAATCATAAAGGACAAATCTTAACACCACCCTGTTTAAAATATTTTTCCCTTTTTGGATTCTAGCTTGTTTCCTTGTATACTCTTTTCTTCCATAACAACGTAAAAGGAGAAAAGAAAACCATAGAAAGCATAACAAGATTGAACAAATTATACTCATCCAAAAAAAAAAAAAAACAGATAGAACAAACTATGTCCTATAAAGGAGCGAGCACATAAAGCGCGAAATTAAAACTGAGGACTACACAAACCAAATTCCAGTATACCTTTTGAATGAAGATAGAGAGATATAGCACAATCACTAACTCAGAAATTAAAAGATGAATAAAAAGAAGCATACATGCAGCTCCATAACCAGAATAAATAATGCCAAATCTTTCCCACAACTTACTTGATAGTTGGTCCTCTATATCCAAAACTGCTTCTTGCAATCAAATTCAAACCATGTTTCTTGAAATCGGTCGAATTATAAAGTGAATTGTCCAAATACACTACTTCCAAAGCTGAAAGAAACGGATCTGAATCTGTATACGTGTTTGTAGCAACACAAACACTCATCGTCTTCCCAGTAGCAGCAAACACCCCTTCATAGTAAGACCACTTCCCTCTGGCGTAATCCTCCTTCGTGTTCACAATGCTCCAGAAGGTCCCATCGACAACCTGATCAAAGACCGGGGGTGAATCTCTGCCGTTGACTCCCCCGTAGAAGTATGTGGTTCGGACGAGGTATGTGACATTGCGGGTCACCGGAAGAACATAGCAGAATTTCCGTTGAGTACGGCCTTCGAGAGGGAAAGACCGGAGGGTGGAGAGCGTCTTGACAAAGTAAGGGCTTTCGGGGATGATTACTGATCTGGGTACTCCAGAAAACACGTATTCGCTGTCGGGCGACCATGTTAGGCCGTCGATCACGGAGGATTTGTTGGCGCCACAGTCGATGAAGAAACCTGAAAGGAAGAAACAAAGAATTTTCAGAGCTGAAATTTAAGTTCTGTGAGATGAAGGGGTTGTGTTTCAATGGCTACTACCTGTAGGAGGTGGGGGTTGAGAATGTACTGCAATGAAGAGAGAGCAGAAGAATAGATAGAGAAACGACATGGTTGCTTATGTGAAAGCATATGACATTGAGAAACGGAAAGAAAGATTTACAGATAGAAAGAGAGAAGCTAGGCTTTGAACCAGGTTCGAGGGAGAAATGAAAGCATGAAACAAGACAGAGAGCATTTTCAATGGCGGGTTGGAATGAAGTCAATAACTGCAGCAGTTGTTAGGTGTAGTTTTAAATGTTAACAATTATGTTACCTTTGGCTCGAGTGACAATTTGATTCCCAAATTTTAAAATCAGACGATTCAGTAATCGACGTACCTAGGGTTAACTCACTGTACAGGTGAAAATCGGGCAAAGTGTGGACTGTGCCTTATCGGTCCGCGATTCGGGTCGGATCGTGTTTTAAATATTATATATATATATATCTGATATATTTCAGTTTTACTATATATATTTTAATTTTAATATATATTTTAGTTTTATTTCAAAAATATACATATTATATATAAAATTTTTGATATATAAAACATCAGTTTTAATCCATCAAATTATTTTTAATTTTTAAATATTCAGCATTTACTTTCTTAGACTTGAATTCTTTATCGTTTATATCAAAAAAATCATTCACAAAACCGACCTAAATCAATCAAATCGATTTTACTTAATACTGAATCGGTTTTGGTTTTATTTCTAAATAAACCAATCAGATCGGGTTGAAAAAACGTCAATAAACTGACCCAATCGACCCGTGAACAGGTGAAAGGAAGAACGAATTATAGGCTTCTTGATTTATGAGATGGGACAAGGGTTAGTTGATTGGGTCGGAAGGGGAAGAGGACTCATTCCAGTTATGTCTGCTCCCTCTTAAGTCTTCATGAGCATCGAACACTCTAGCCCCCAAAGTTCCGTCTCATGACTTCTGGACGAGTTTGACCGAACACAGACCGGGATACTTCGTCCCGGTTTTCCAAATACAGGCTGGCCTCGCCTGTATTCGTCCCATTTCCATCGTTTTCTTTCTTTTTCTTCGTTGTTATCACCACTTCCGACGAACATCAGAGGAGTTGCAGCGGTGAAACTCCTCAGTTGCTCTTGTTCGATTAACCCATTCCCAGGCATAAATCCATCGAATATTCGACCTCGTCCTATTCCCTCATCGTTCTCTCCTAACCTTCCATTGTTTTTCTAGTTTCTCTCAGCTGTCATTGTCCCCTCCGACCGGCGAAAACAGGGGAGTTGCAGTAGCAGATTCCCCCCTCATTCCCACTCAAATCTAGCGAACCCCATTGACTTCTGGTCCGTTTCGAACTTTCGTTTGGCAGAGCTTCACACAATCCCCAGTCCCTAAAAACAGAGTTTGGGTTCAATTAGGTTTTAAGAGAGATCGACAAGTAAAAAGAAAATAGAGTAAGTTTAGTGGAGTATTTTTGTAATTTAACGCTTTTTGTTTTACAACCAAGGGGTATTTGTCACAATGTAAAAGTTTAAAGGGTTTTGTCGAAAAAAATGTAAAGTTTTTGCCACGAACCCCATATTTCACTAATTTCAGGGGGTCCATATAATTTACCCTAAAAAATATACCCGGTATGTGTTTCTTTTTTCAGAATCAGACTCTTTTCAAATCCGATGATTTTGATTTATTTTTGGAACTTGCAATCAAAGAAAAAGAAAACAATTCACATGAAGAACACCCTCTAAGTCTTCGGGTTAAAGCAAACTCATACCAAACTCCCTTTTAAGTCAGTTTTGTTTCCCTTTCCACCCTATTTTGGGTGTTGTGATGTTACCAGTTTACTTATTAAGATTACTTATAGAGAGACATGGAGATATTTTGGTGACGTTGTGTCATGTAAATGGTTGCTCTTTAAGATATATGAAATAAAAATAGTTTGTGATGTTGTGACATGTGTTAATCATCTAACCTAAAACTTTGTTTATTATGAAAGTTTCATCATTGCACAAAATTACAAATACTGTTCCTGAAACTTCTATAATTAGGTGAATCCAGATCTCCTGCACATTCCTCCCTTAGAGGGTGCCATGTCAATACCTCTCATGTGTGAATCTAGCAAATCTAGCATGTGCAAGTGATATTAATAGACATAATTTTTTTTATTAATCAGGCTCAACAACTAATGATTTTCACAATAAAAAGGGTTTGTTTGAAATATGTGCAAAACGTGGACTTTATCATTAAATGCCTTATATTTTTTTATCACACACTATTTATAAGAAGAGCACAAGTTTGTATCCAAAAAATGGGTACATAATGTGCTCTTCTCATGATATAAGAAGGATGTCATAAAAAACATTTTTGACATATTAGTGGGTGTTCAGTACCGTGGTCAGACCACGATATATTACGTTTTGAAATGCACTACACTAAATTAAGGTGTTCTCTTATCCTGTGGTGTGGATTCATACACACTATCTCGTGGATGAGTCCATACCACAAGTCAATTTCTCATCCACATGTTTTTATCGTGGATTGAATCACGCCACTGTGAAATTGTTTATCAATAATGACCCCATGCTTTACATAGTATGTTTTATTCAATTTATCTTACATTTTTATTAATGTTTTCGAACTGTCGTTGATTCGGATGGCCAAAACGTTTGGCTTGGGAACTGTCCAGGCAATCAGTTTTGTTTTACCCCAAACTTGGGCCCTAGCCAAAACCGTTTTATTGGTCAATGACCTATTGAACCAGGCAATTGAACCGTCGACCCATTTAACCCGTTCAATAGTTTTTTACTGTTATTATTATTTTAATTAGTTTTTTTATAATTTAATTTTGTTATCAGAACGGGTTGTTGTTTCGAACTAGATGGTCAAACCATCAACCTGGGAACCTAGGAACTATCAATCCGGTTTGGCTTTGAAAACCATGGAAAAAGTAATAACATTTAATTGGATAAATGGTATTTTATTATTTATTATTTTAAAAGGTTTATAAAATCAACCCAGAGAATGAATCGTTCATGAGTCCGGTTCCCGGTCAAACGGTTGGCCCATTTTGATAGAAAAAATAAAAATAATAAAAAATGATCAAAACCGTTGAACAGTTTTCTGATCAAATCAACATTTTTTTGCCAAAATTCGGTTTTGGCAAAAAAACGGAACCGGTCACCTAACTGGTTCCCAGTTTTTCCAGTCCGGTTCGGTTTTGAAAACCATGGAAAAAGTAATAACATTTAATTGGATAAATGTATATTTTATTGTTTATTATTTTACAAGGTTTTTAAAACCGACCCGGAAAACAAACCAATCAGGGCTTTGGTTCTCGGGTCAAACGGTCGGCCCGTTCTAACAGAAAAATAAAAAAAATAAAAAAAAAAAAACAAAAATGATCAAAACCATTGAATGATTCAAATGGTTCAACCACCCAAGTCAGCGATTTGCTGACCAAATCAACGTTTTTTGGCCAAAATCTGGTTTTGGGAAAAAAACGGAGGTGACTGGTTTTTCTAGTTCGACCGTCCGATCTGGTCCAATTTTGAAAACCATGTTATTGTACATAAATAAATAGTAGTAATGTTAAATTGTCAATACCTTCATAAAACAATATTAGTAATAATATTTTTATTAATTAATAAGTTTTGAATATTATTTTTATTAATATTATTAATCATTATTTATTATTAGTAATTAGTAACAATATTATTAATTATTATCAAATAGTATAAATATTATTATTAACATTGTTAATTATTGCTAACATTATTTTATTAATCATTAATTATTAATATTAATAATTATTTTTTAATTATTATTTTTACTAATTTTAGTTAATATTAATATCATTGTTTGTTATTAAATATTATTAATATTATTTTTAGTATTATTAATATTATTTTTATTAATTATTAATTTTTTGTAATTTATTAATGTTTTTTCTATTATATATATTACTAAAAAATAAAATATTGTATTTTAATGATTAACAGCATAGATAATCTCACATGTTGTAGTTGAGATGCATGGAATCAAACACATGATGTTGACAGAAATGTGTCACACTTTGTAGTATGCCCATTAAGGTGTGGTATGGATGAGTACACACATTTTTGTCCATGGTGCAGAACAACTATCCTGTTGGGGTGTGGTGTGTTTTCATGGCTAATTACTAATTTATTATTCATCTAATCTTTCCTAGAATATGGATTGTGATCTAATTTGAATTGTATTAGAATTAGTTTTCCTATATTGCTCTACTTTTGCCTTTATCTTGAATAAGGAGAGTTTCATTTAAACTCTTCCTCTTTCTTGTATTTAAACCTTAGCAATGCAATTCATTGTGAGTGTTCTTTTTCTCACTAGATTAAATTTTATTTTATGGTATCAGAGCACCAAATGGTGTCCTGTAATAGCAACAATTCATCCTCTTCTGCTGCCATAGCTATGACAAATGGAGAAACTCTCTCTATTCGTGTACCATCTTCAACATTGAATTTTGGGCAAGTTGGAATGATATAATTATTTGATTTGGAGATCACAGGTTCTTCCTGCTCTCTTTGGGTCTGAATTACTTTGTTATGTAGATGGTACTTTTCCTTATCCATCTCAGACCATTCAAGAAGATGAAAAAGCTATTCCAAATCTTGCCTACATACAATGGAGAAAATAAAATCAACTCTTATAGAGTTTGATGCTCTCACTGATCTCATAAAAGCATTATTGGGCAAGTAATTGGATGCACCACCACTTAAACTGTTTGGCATACTCTAGAAAAACTATTTGCCTCTCATTCTAGAGTAGAATCATGCAATTACACACTGAATTGATGAGTCTTATGAAAGGCAATCTCAGTATGAATGAATTTCTCCATAAAGCTAAAGCTATTTCAAACAGATTAACAATGGCTGGTCAAACGGTTTCAGATTATGATCTTGTGATTTGCAATGTTACCGGACTAGGTTCAGACTATGGATCTTTTATCACATCTATAAGTACTCCACCTAAATAAATTTCTTTTGATGATTTACAAGATATGTTATATAATCATGAGATTAGGTTGGAAGCTTTGAAGATTCACCCTGAAACCAGCATCTCCGATATCCAATGTTGCCCAGCATGGACAACAACAAGAAAATTCATGATATAATAAAAATAAAAAGCAAGCAAATAAAGCACAACAACAGAATTTCAATAACAAGAAGCCTCAATTTGATGATGGAAACATGGGATCATCTCCTGTGATTTGCCAAATCTGTAAGAAGAAAAACCACACTACAAGGAACTATT